TGTTTATTCAGTGTAAAATTGCAACAGTTAAAGTTTATCATTTCTCAGCAACTCGAATCACATAATAGAAAGAAAGCTCCAACAATTCTACACATAATATATTATTTGCAAAAGACATGTAAATTAGCGATGCACTGATTTCACTATGAACATTTGCTGTATCTCAGTACTTTTGAATTAACTATTGTAAAATCTCAACAGTTCTAATCCATTCTGGAGAATGATACACAGCAGTGGCAGTAAAAGATCGCACACCACCTTATCCACAGAGAGAATTTCAAAATCCCAGTAAAAAAAAGTAGAGCATTAAAAATATGACTACATAAGAAACAACAAATGAAAATGATAACGAAACAAAAAATAAACGATTGAAAATAGTAAAGAAACAGCATCCTTCTCTCCACAGAAATCTGCTTCAGCAATAACTAAGCAGAAAAAAATCATCCTCAAACCGCCTTCAAACCGCAAGTCCAACCAAGAGATAATAATAACCTGAACGTTTAATTCATGACTTGTGGCCCTAATGAGGGCCGTTGGGTTAGCAACAAACATCTCCGCTCCCTCTTATTTTGAGCTAGTGTATTTCGTGACTGCCTTCGTGCCCTCCGAAACTGCATGCTTCGCCAGCTCACCAGGCAGAATCAGCCTAACTGCCGTTTGGATTTCACGGGACGAAATAGTAGTTCGTTTGTTGTACTGGGCCAACCGGCTTGCTTCAGCCGCAATTCGCTCAAATACGTCATTAACGAACGAGTTCATGATCGACATTGCCTTGGACGAGATGCCGGTATCTGGATGTACCTGTTTGAGCACCCGATATACATAAACCGAATAGGACTCCTTCCTCAAGCGTCTTTTCGCCTTCCCACCAGTCTTCGGCTTCTGAGCTTTGACAGCTTTCTTTGCACCTTTAGCAGAAACTTTTGGTGGCATCTTACAAGCAACAACAGAAGAGATTACAACCGCTGCAAACGCAAATGACGCTGCAACGTGACGCACGCTTCTTATATAGTACATGCGGAGCGCGGAGGCTCCGCCTACCAGTGCATAACAAACACGCGGCATAATGTATAAGACATAGATGAGGAGCGGTTGGGTCTGTTTGTTGGGATAAATGGAACAAATAGAGGTCTGAAGTGTTCGTACTTATAATGTAAGAGTGCAGAGCTACACAACATGTTTTTTCTTATTTTCTTAGGTGTTTCAGTGCCAGCGTGATCGACTGTTTGAGAATGCATGTAGTTTTGAGAGGCATCTATGAGCGCTTTTTGAACAACCGAGTATGGATATTACCGCAGGTTGAATTTTACATGGGAACTTCATGTTTGTGGAGGTGTGGTGGTTTTTGCGAAGGATATTACCTTTGCAAACATGTAGTGTTCTGCGTTAAAAATCATTTCAATAATGGAATTATATAGCGGCGATCGGATTGGTGTAAAAAAATCCCACAGTTTCAAAAATCAATTTTGTGTGAATATGAGAAATTTTGATTCTCATCGATTTCTTCTACACTCTTCATGAATATTATTATCCGCAAGACTGTTTTTTTTCTTTTGAAAGTAGAAATATTTGAAAAGCACTCTAGGATTTTCTAGGATTTTATGGGTGCTGCGAGATTAGCGGCGCACAGCTCTTCTCAGAATCCCGATAGTAGCAAACCGTGGAAAACTCGTTGCCCAAGTCCTTTTCATGGTTGGAACTGGAGAAATGAATAAATAGTGCCGAGTGCGTTTCAAATAGAAGTATCTATATTACAAAACCGGAAGAATTCGTTGGAGTAACTATTATCCAAGTTTCGCAAGACCAGTAGAAAGGACGTTTCACACTGTCGGAAGCCTAGCTGAAGAATTTAATAAAAAGCTTTTTTGTTTCAAGTTTAGTACAAAGATATGGTTTCGCTGTTAATGCTTAATTATGATAACAGATGCAGAATGGCTTCTCAGTCTGAGTATTGTTTAAATAATTTGAGTTTGATTTAAGTAATACCAACTCAATCCGTTCAGTTACTGGCGGTTCTAGTATCCTCAGTATTTAAATTTTTTAAGAGGTTCAGTGAGGAAGTTGCAGTTTTAAAAAAGGTTTTGTCAAATTTTCTATTCATCCACTGATGACTCCAAGTGTTAATCGAAATACTTCTCACCATCACAAAACAACCAGCAGGAAGCTATTGTCGAAAGGAGTGAAGGGTAAAATAAACTAAAGTCTGATGTCATCTTAGCAAATGCAAATGAATTTTCAAAGAAATGAGATTGAAGCTGTTAGCGTCCCAAAAACGGTTAGCCAGATGAGTCTTTTCAGAGGGTATAGAGAGGTGGAGGATGCCTTAAGGATCAAAACTGTTGCTCAGGCTCTTCCAGAACGATAGATTTAAAAGTTTTAGGCGCAAATTACTAGGCTCAGCCATGGTTCAAAGAGTGGTGGATCGCATAAGCCAGTTGATGCTACGTACATTTGGGAGTTTTGTGTTACGATGTTCCAGTCATGTAAATGCGTTTAACCACAGCATGCAAGCGAGGCAACATGCAACACTAAATTCGCCCGGGTCTTAAGCTCAGGAGATTTTCCTGAATCAGCGTCGTTGTTCTTCACCATTTAAAATTATCTGAGTAACTTTTCTGTGCCAAACCTCTAAACCAACTGCCCTGCTCTAAAACTGTTTACGCGTCATCCTTGTCCGAAATACTCACACCATCACTCCAAGCGCTCTGCATTGTGTTATTAAGAGTGACAATGGAGTCATCTTTGCGCATTTGTTCGAATCTGGCGCCAAATGCAAAAGCGCGGTAAAATTGCAGCCCGTGTGGAGTATTTAATGCAGAAAATGCAATCATTTGAATTAGTGCGGTTTATTGCTACGCGACGGTGTCGGCGTCTTGAAAATGTCTGGTCGTGGTAAAGGAGGCAAGTCTAAGTCTGGTGGTAAAGTGAAGTCAAAGTCCTCAAGAGCTGGACTGCAGTTTCCTGTTGGTCGAATCTATCGTATGCTTCGTCGCGGTAATTATGCTGAGCGTGTTGGCGCTGGTGCGCCAGTATATTTGGCTGCAGTGTTGGAGTATTTGGCTGCCGAGGTCTTGGAGCTGGCTGGCAATGCAGCCCGAGACAACAAGAAGACCAGGATAAATCCTCGCCATTTGCAGTTGGCAGTTCGAAATGATGAGGAACTGAATAAGTTGTTGCAGGGTGTTACTATCTCGCAGGGTGGAGTTCTGCCAAATATTCAGGCTGTTCTGTTGCCGAAGAAAACTGCAGAAAAGGCGTAATACGTTGGCGTCTGGATTTTCAACCCAACGGCCCTCTTTAGGGCCACAAATTTGGAACTCAAACGTTATACATTCTTCTGTGTTGGTTTGTGATTTTCCTGATAGTTGGAGGTGCTGTAACTTGCAATGGTCTTGAGTTATTTGTTAAGAGGGTTCAGGAAGTATGATGATCTAGCATATGAATTTTTTTGGGATCTCGATAAAGAAAAGGTGGAGAAATTTTTAGGTTTTTTTTTGCTGTGGGAGAATTGTGTGTCGCAGGGGTCTAGGTTGTACCCATGTTTTGCTATTTGAGTTTGATACGTGCATATTGGTGAGTAAATTTTTTTTATTGGGCTGGATTTGCATATACATTTAAATTGGTTGCCGTTTTTGTCTATGAATACCTTTGGTGCATTTTTTTTTCTTATCTTTCCTCTTAATGCTGAGGTCTTTGTTTTATTGATTGCCTGTTGTAAAACCGGTTTGCTTCTTTTGTTTTTTTTTTTTT